ATAAAGAATTTCAATATATACTTTAAATTCCTAATTAATTGTTTATAAAAAAAAATTAAAAAGAAAATAGAAATAGTTTTAACACTATTCACACAGGAGTCCTCATTATTTCTGACTGTCTCTCTCCTTCTACGCTTCTCGTGCGGCTCTAATTACACAACACTCCATTTATCGTCTAAGTAACCAGATTAATCAGCCATTGACGTTCTCTCTTTTACTTCCTCTATCTAAGGAGGAGGAGGAGGAGGAATGGCAGGCAACGATTGGATAAATAGCTACTTGGAGGCCATACTGGACGTGGGTCCGGGACTGGATGATGCGAGATCGTCGCTGCTGCTCCGGGAGAGAGGGAGGTTCACTCCCAGTCGCTATTTTGTTGAAGAGGTCATCACTGGCTTCGATGAGACGGATCTTCATCGATCATGGGTTCGGGTACTATCTGTTTCCTTTGCCTGCACTCTCTGTAATTTTCTGTCTCTAGCACGTGTGTCAGTGTACATCTCTATTTTTGTGTGTATGCGGTGTTTTCTTTCTCTGGGTATCGATGTGTGTTTCTGGTGAGTCCAGGCTGTGGCGACGAGGAGTCCTCAGGAGAGGAATACGAGATTGGAGAACATGTGTTGGAGGATTTGGAATTTGGCTCGTCAGAAGAAGCAGGTATGTTGTCTTCTCTCTCTCTTCAAGGTTTGGGCTTTTGGTATTTTTCTTTTTCAGTTTTAATTGAATTTTCTTTTTTGTAGCTTCTGCTGTAATTTCGAATTTTGAACTTTGAAGTAGGCTTTGAGACTAGAGGAAGGATCAGGAGTTTTATGACAGTGATGTGGATGTGGGGGGTAGTCCTTATTTAATTTGGTTGATCTGTTGGAATTTGTTTTTCTTGTAAATGGATTTTAATTTTTGCTGCAATTTTTTTCTTAATGGGGTCTTCTCCATTCTGTGTACCTTTTCAAAATGAGTCTTATTTTATTCTAATTGAATGTTGAATAGGTTTCCGTTGTATTTGTTCAGAAGCGTTTGGGAGTTCCTTTTCCAGGCCTTTTTTTTACCTTCTTTTTTTAAAGTGGGTGTTCAAAGAATTCTATTTTGACCTATCTCACTCTGGGTATCAGAGTTAGTGATCAGATATGCTGTCTTA